TGCGTCTTGCTGTTTCTATATCACTACTTATTTCAAGAAGCAGAGTCATTCCGTTCAGAATTACTCAACTATTAATGATACCTACCAAAATGAACTCAACATCGAGCACTAGTTTATTGAACACTACTCAGTGCCTCGCAGATCCTAACTGGATATACGACATGCATCAATGGACAAACAAAAAGGGACCACTTTCACAAGGCTCTCAAGATTTGTATTTAGAGAAAATTTTCCAAGTTATCTCATCTACTAACAAATATTTTGTTGAATTTGGTTTCAATGAACCTAGTTATAGCAAAACGGGATCAGGTGCCAATACTCATAATTTATATGAAAAAGGTTGGCGTGGTCTTTTGTTAGATGGTGGTTATGAAAATAAGATGATCAATTTGAAGAAATATTATCTCTTTGCTAATAATATCGCTTCGATTTTTGCAGAAAACAATGTTTCGAAAGAACTTGACTATCTTTCGTGTGATATGGATTCACATGATCTATGGGTATTTCGTTCTATCTTACAAGCGGGATATCGACCACGAATAATCACAACAGAATTCAATACGAATTATCATATTACCGATGCTTTAACTCTATTGGATCCAACTATTAATTGTTCTGGTTCACTTCCTCAGAACTTTAGATTCCAATTTCAAGGATGTGCATGGGGTGCGTCAGCAGGCGCACTACGTATTGTTGCCGAAGCGCATGGATATACTATGATTGGAAGGATAAGTGTACTTGATCTAGTATGGATAAGAAATGATTTGCTGAAAGATTGTTTTCGCATACCACCGTTTGAATGGTTCTTCCGCAATGCACCTGCCGGACATCTTCTTCATGCACGTGTGTCGTCTGCGGGAGTACTTAATCAAATTGTGGACTATGACACATATGTACGCACATTAAACATTGAAAAGAGCAATGCAGCAGCCCGTGCTATCCTAAAATCAAGAGACTTACCGTGCTTCAAGAACGTATACCAATTTCTGTGAGACTATTCGGACGCCTTATTATTTGACAGTATTTTATTTTATTTTATAAACAACTGACTTATAAATTAATAACAGTTTTTAACCCATTTCCTTGAATTTGTTCGGAATGAAAACAGAAAAAACCAAAGACAACCATTAGTCAGTGTCGAAATTGATAGTCTCTATTCACATTGAACAAAATAGATATTATCGAAATCACAAGGAGGGACAAGAAAAATTTATTTCACGTCAATGATTTGAAAGAATACTTAATATAAACATAATATTTCATTGGTATTACTAGATTATCGAGCAACTTGATCGGACCCATAGAATTGACGGCACCCTATGAAACATGTAAGAGAAACAAGGAGACAACACTGATTTGTTGGCTTGTTTACTTTGTTTGAGTTTTGCCAATTTTGATTAGTTTAGATGATCGTTTACGACAAATCGAATGAGTTAAACTGACATAATCATAAAAAAATAGTAACATACCAATTACTTTACCAAAGAAAAACGAAAGACAGTGATCAATTGACGACGAAATCAACGGAACAGAAGCAACACTTCTCTTCTCATACTAGCCGACAAAAAACGAATGAAAGTACTTTCCAATCCAAAGAGAGAAGAATTTTGAAAAAGGCATCTATACACTCAGAGACACAATGTTTTGAGCGTTTAAACACATATGGAAAACAAGTAGTCTTCAGTTTTATTGAAAGTTTTCCGCGTATGAACGATCAGAAGCTAGAAATTTTGAATGTGTTCAGAAATTTTAGCCTGTATCTACTTTCTAAATAGATGACAGTTTTTTACAGTACTCGTACACATAGAAACACACATTCACGATGATCGCCGCTCAACCAGACAAAATTGCATGCACACGCTCGAAAGTATTCTTTTGTGAGCGTTTAACCACGCGTAGAAAAAAATGGTTCTACAAACACCTGGAAATCTAAGTTTTGATTGTGAACACGTACATAGACCTTTTTTATTGAATATATAGAGGTATGTAAATGCTCAACAAGTTAGTTTTATGAGTGTATTCACGTTTACTCAAAATCTAAAGTTGACGCGTTTTTTAACAGTATTTTTATTGTCATGATTATAGTGATAATTGATAACCGTACAATTACTTAAAAAATAAATGTTTTGAATTGTTTTTCCGTACAAATATTATTTTCATTATTTATATTCAACATTTTACCTTTTCAACAGTCAAAATCAGATAATTATGAGCGTATTAAGAAGTCTAATTTTTAACACTGAAAACTTCGCGCTTTTATACAGCTTTCAATTGACTTCAGTTTCTAGATAAGCGTTTACATATACGAAATGATATTTCTATTGTACTTAAGTGCGAAAAAAAAAGAGTTTTTTTAAACAGTGTAAAACTCAAAGCTCTAGTATGATAACCCATATGTTCACGCATTATTTTAATTATGTGTGTGATATGAAATGCAATAATTCAAACTAGACAACTGCTGATATCGAAAGAGCAACCAAATATTTAATATAGCTGAATTTTTTTTATTTTGGTTTTGGTGAACATTTATATATAAGCTTAAAATAAGAAGACTGAAGTCTATAGTAGAAAAACGATCGATTCTATTTTTACAAAGTATGCTATTTTAAAACGTTGGTTTTTTAATTTTAAACATGAATCATGTACCAAATCATTATTCATCTTGAAGAGACTCAACTACGACAAGCAAAGAGAAATAAAATCCTACATAAAACTATGCATTCAAGTTGGTTTTGTTGCATATATGAGTTAGTTATTCATTTGAAATGAATATCTCACGGTTCATAAAAGTAGTTTCCTATTAAAAAGTAATAACAAAATTATTTTTTCCTTATATCAGCACAATAAAACAATCTTAGTTCAGCAGAACTACAGAAATCGATAACTTGGTCTTGAGAAGCTTAATTACTTTTTAAAAAAAAATGGGGAAAAATAAAAAACGATATGAACAATATTCTATTCTCCGTATACATATTCTTTACTATGTCAATTATTCGTATTCAGACTTTTTGAAGGATACATGATATGAAAGAGATGCTAACTATTATTTTTTTGTCTTGCAATCTTATTTATTTTCATATAGAAGATTTATTTAAGTAATAAAAATTGAGAGATAAAATTGCAAGCATTTAAGCTATTGATTGTAATCAATACTGATTTACATGACCTTCATTTGTCACCATATATTCCCTACTTTCTGTCTGCATTCTCTATATTTTATTCCTCTTCTGATTTATTTTTCTTCTCTATCATCATACGCATGGAACTTTTGTCTCATACACATAATTATTCTCATACGTGACTCAATTTTGTTTTTGACTAATGCTTGTGAAAATACCCAGTCGAAAGAATAATGGAGAAATGACCATTAAAATGCATTTCGATTCGTATATGAACCATTTTGACCATTTTATGATCCCCTATGTCTATTTTTTTCCAAATTTTGTGGTGATTTAAATGCTTTTATAATGTCTAACAGTTGTA